ATAAAAAAAATAGATTTTTTAAATTTTAGCTTACTAATTTAAATTTATTATTAGTATAAAAAAATATAAAATATGTTAAGAATTGGAAAATATATAAAAAAAAATAGATTTTATTTTTCTTAATTAAATTTATTATTTTAATTTATTTTACAATTTCAAAAACTAATAATTAATATGTTACAAATAATTTGATTTTCTAATGTAAATAATGAAATAAAATATTTATATTTAGAATTGAAATTCAATTTTATTTTATCCCACATCGAATGTCAATAAAAAACTAGAAGATGATCTCCTCTTTAAAAAGAAACATCACGATGGTAGAAGTCACCATTGGACTTACTAGTAAAAATAGGTGGGCCTCAAACTAGTTCAAAATTTTTTTAATGAACATAAAATCATTTTATTTGGAAAAATCGGATCCGATTTTTCGGTTTACGATTAATCGGCTGGTTTAACGGTTTATTTGACTATTTTCAATTTTTCGTTTAATGTATGATGATTTGATTCCAACATTGATTTTTTCCCTAATTTTTATTAATTTCGGATCAGATTATCGGATTTGATATCCGATAACATAACAAATCATATATTAACTTAACAATCAAATATATGTTGGATGATCGGATAATTTTTTTATCGGCTTGAATCGAATATAGGCAGATCCGATCCATTTACAGCCCTATCTAATACCAGATGTAGTGGAATATTGATCACACAAAAGATGTTTTCCGACCTCAGCTTCAATCCAACTGACTCAACACCCCAAATGAATGATCCAAATGCACAACTAACGACCCACACTTTGGTTACTTTTGGTTGTACTCACAAAAGGACACAAGAAGGTGTTTTGTAGCTACAAAGGCAGCCAAAGGTAGAAAAGAAGAAGAAAACGGTAGGGCACAAAGCAATAGTAAAGACGACCGTTTTTCTCTCAAGCAAAATGGACAAAAACGCACACGTGAATAACCAAGAAGGCAGCTAGAAATATATAGATGATATTAGGTATAGTGTTGGGACAAGTAATTCAATAAATGGGTCAACTCTAGCAAGCTTTCCAAGAAGTGAACGGGATAGATCATGAGTAGCTCCAATTAAATTATGTTGCTTCCAATTGCTCCAAATAGCTTAAGGGTTGGGTCATTTCATTTGGGTGTTGATATTATAATTCAGTTATTTGGTCGATGTCGATTTAGAAATTCTAACGATTTAACATTATATGTTTGGAGGTCATTTGACAACAATTGCCCAACATGGTTTTTTTAATGATTTCCAAGATCTAATTTCTCTAAGATTGGTTGGTGATGCTATGAAAAATGTATGTGGGACAATTTAATCTCAATCGAAAAGAGGGATGAGCTCGAGGGATGAGCATGAGCATGACCTTTGAACATCTTGTAAAAAAGCTAGGGGAGTTGTTAACGTATCCCATCCTATGTTGAAGTCAAAAAGCTATTGGAGAGTAGGGCTATGCAAAATGTCTGAACCAAATCGAGCGGTTTTTCTTAAATGAAATACCCAAATGGGTATTCAAATCGAGAATCGAATGGTTTGGTTTGGTTCGGTTCTCGGTTCTAGACCAAAAACCGAAAAATCGATTAAGAATCGAATTTTTTTTTATATTGGATAAATCAATTTCTTTTATTTTTTTAAATAAATTAATAATTTTTTTCTTATTAAGTCTTATCCTATATATATAAATAAAAGAGTCACTTGGTAGTTACTATTCATAAGCCGAGCCGAGCCGAGCCAAATGGCTTTATGGCTCGGCTAAGCTGTCTAAGCCGTTTTAATTTTACGTTTGATTCAGTATTTTGCTGAGCCAAATGACTTTGTGGCTTGACTCGACTAAGCCTTTTTTTTTAAACGTTTGATTCAGTATTTTAAGTTACAAATATTCGTTTTGAGCGATTTAAAACTTGTTGGAAATGTTAAAGTGCGACAATGATAGATATATGATCGATAAATTTTATTAAATATCAAAAATAATTTTACATTAATTGTGAAACGTAAAGTCGTGATTGTTTATGTTTCTTTTCAATCACAACCTCATTCCAATGTCCTTTTTTCGAACTTTATTTTCCTACAATTTTTCGTTTGATTCGATATTTCACAATATGAATATCCATTTGGATCGATTTAAATTTTTTCAAAAAAACTTAAAATGTGATAATGATAATAATAAATATATTGTCGATTAAATTTAAGTATAAAAATTATCTTAAATTATTAAACGTAAAATCATAATCGTTAATTTTTCTTTTCTAC